TTCGTTAGGTAATTGAGAGTATACCTGTGTAATTTCTTTATATCTTCTTAGTAGATTGTTTTGTGGCTGTTGCCCATGGTTTTTTTATCACAATTGGAGGTGCTCCAATTGTGGTTTTTCCACGTTAAAATCGTTGTGTTGATTTGTCTTGATTGGGATTGTTATATAGTGCTTAAAATTGATACATAATCACAAATCAATATCTAGAGGATTTCTAGATTTTTCAGACTTCATGTTCTTAATGATCCTACCCTGTTTAGTAAAGTTTAAGCATATTTCGGTTTATATTTACAAAAGTTTGGGAAACTTCAAATAGAACTGTCTGTTTTTATTTCAAAATATATGTACACAGCTACCAAAATTTATCTCCCTCCCCATCCTCTCCTCCAACATTCTATCACCACGTCCTGCTACCGTCCCCTCTGACCCACTATTGCTAACAACCACCTTCGACCACCACTCTAGTGGTCAGAAACGCCCTCCAGACTTCCAGCCACCATCCTTGGTGACCCCTTTGACCACCGCCACTAGCACCTTCGGCCACCACCCAAGCCGTCAAAAGCCACCTCCTCCCACCTCCTCTCATTTGTTTTCAAAACAAGTTTTTGAAAACATATGTGTATCAAAAACATTTTTTGTTTTTGTTCACTAAAAACAAACATAGACATTTTTACTATTTTTTGTCAACAAAAAATAGTAAACTGTAAACTTCACCAAATACCAAGGTGCCGTTTGGTAACACTTACGTTTTTAGTTTTCTGTTTATATTTACAAAAATTTTAAAAACTCAAATAAAAACTTGTTTGGTAAAATTTTTGATTTATAAATTAGTGGTCTCAGTATATAAATTTAGCCAAAAAATGAAAACACAAAAAATATGTTTCCGTTTTGAGTTTTGTGTTTTTTTTTTTTTTACCACCAAATACTAGCTACCACCTCATGTCATGTTAAAATGTAAATCATTCAGAAAATTAAGTTTGAATGCACTTCGTCACAAAAATGAAGGCATTGTGGGTGACTTTTATGTTTACAGTTTTCTTTTTATGTTTACAAATGTCAGTCATGAATTTAGTCGATGCATGACCTTGTCAAATTAAAATCTAAATCATTCGGAAAATTAAGTTTGACTGCACTTCGTCACAAAAATGCAGGCATGTTGGGTAACGTTTATGTTTACAGTTTTCTTTTTATGTTTACAAAAATTTAGAAAATTTTAAATAATTCTATCTACTTTTATTTTCAAAATATGTGCACAGCTACCAAAATGTACTTAATTTTAGTGAACAGAAAAGTAATCTCCCTCTCCATCCTCTCCTCCAACATCCTATCACCAAGGTCCGGCCGTCGTCCCCTCTAGCCACTATTGCTAGCAACCACTTCGACCACCACTAGCGGTTAGAAACCACATCCAATGAGTCCCTCACATCTAGCAGTTGACAACCACCTCCAGCGAAGCGACTCCCTCTGACTACTGTTGCTAGCAACCACCTCTGACTACCATCCCCGTTGTAAAAAGCCACTGCCACCTCCACTCACTTGTTTTCAAAACAAGTTTTTGAAAACAAGTGCACGAAATATGATTTTTTTTTTTTTTTTTTTTTTCACTAAAAATAAAATTAAACATGTTTAATAATTTCTATCAACTAAAAAATAGTAAACTGTGAACTTTAGCAAATGCCAAATGTTTCTAGTATTTTGTGATCAACATAGAAAATAAAAAATACATACATAATTGGCACACTTTAGAGATCAACATAGCTTCAGCAATAACCCGTTAACATGGATTATTTGCACTAGTCTAAATAATCATAAATCAGTTCACAATGCCTGGTAAACTTTTCAGGTATCCACTTGTGCTGATAGCAATGTACAACTTGTTCGATCTGATATCAAGATACATTCCCCTAGGGGAATGCCTCAAGATAAAATCTCGAAAGGGCCTTATGATTGCTACACTGTCTCGTTTCTTGCTCATCCCTGCATTCTACTTCACTGCAAAGTATGGTGGTCAAGGATGGATGATAATGCTCACATCTTTCTTGGGACTAACAAATGGTTATCTCACTGTTTGTGTCCTCACAGAAGCTCCAAAAGGTTACAAGGTAACTTTATAACATCAGCCTTCAATGTTTGAGGATTACTTTACAAGTTAAATTATAAGCCATACATGAGGCACATGTTGTCAGGGTGGTGCTGGTGGGCCCACATAATACAAACCAATAACTCTCGAACATCGTTCCCTTGGAAGTTGTCTCTTTAAGAGCGGAAAAATAAAATAAAATGAAATAACGCTAAAAAACATTCATATTATTTGTATGATTTTTTGATTTTTGTAATGGCTTCTTAGCTTAGACATGTTTGATAACCTTCTTAGCTTTTTTTGTTTTAATATAAAATCACTAATTTGCCCTTCATAGTACTACATTATGTTTCTGTGTTTCTTGACTTCTGACAGATAGTTTTTTTTTTTTTATTTTATGATTTATTTTTATTAGAAAAAATAGGTATGTTGAAGGACAATAATATCACTTTTATAACTTATTAGACTAAAAAAGCTAATAAGTTGCTTGTTAACTCGTGCCAAAATAAGTCTGAGTCATGTTCAGCTGGAGATCATTTTTCATATTGAATTCAAATATTTTGCCTAAAAATTTATCATTGAGATCTTGATCTTTGCAGGGACCTGAACAAAATGCGTTGGGTAATTTGCTAGTGTTATTTCTTCTAGCTGGCATATTTTCAGGAGTTGCTCTTGATTGGTTGTGGCTTATTGGTAGTAAACAACAATTTTAAAAGATCAAGGCGGCGAACTGCCTCTTGATCTTGATGAAGAAAGACAGTTCATCATACTTGATCATTACTGAGATTGTTTAAATTGGATATGAAAGAGGACCATGAATCGTCGAAGAGTGATCATCATCATTTTATTGTCAAGCAAATCCATTCCTTCACAGTGAATATTATATTGGTGCTTTAGAATTTCACAGTTTGATGTTTGTTTTTCACTTCTTTGTAATGTATTGAAAGGATAGTTTTTATAGGGTCATGGTGAAAAATAAAGATCAAGAATTTGAAGTGGTGGTTTATATGTGTGTATGTATCAATCTATTTATATGAGTAAGCAGCACAATAGAAGAATCATTATCGGATTAAACTCAAGGTCTCCACCTTTTTTATGTTTGATTTGAGTAGAGATTTGTGGAAAGAAAAGAGAAGAGAAGAAAAGAAAAAAGAAAAAAGAAAAAAAAAACAGAAAAGCAAAAAGAAAGGAAAAGTGATAAAAAAAAAAAAAAACAATTTACATCTATCTTTGTCAATTTTTTCTTCTTTTTTTCCTCTTCCTTTATGAATCTCTACTTAAATTCAAAATTCAAACACAAGCTTGGGATGACATGGGTATTAGGTGGTGATTACTTTTGCTCTATTGAGTTGTTTAGTTTTAGGTAAATTACAGTCTCTATAATTTAAGCAAAGTTTCATTTTAGTTTCCATAATTTTAATTTGAACAATTTGACCCTTACACATTCAATTTTGTTGCAATGTGGTCCTTCATCCATCACTTATCGTTAGGATTTGAAATGAAAAAAGTGTTGGAAAATGGCTTTTGTAAAATCTTATTTTTTGCTAACTTTGAGCATTAATTAAGGTAGGACTTAAGCGTTATTTTTAACGTTACTAATTGGGTTCATGTGTTAACGCCGCGTAGTGAATAACATTGCGTATTTGGTTGCTCAAAACCATTTCCTGATGAATGAGAATTCAACGCACATTCAACGAGCATTTTAGCTTTGGGTGGGTTTTCTACACATTTATGAAATGTGTTTGTTCCACGTTGGAAAGGCTTAAGAATTTATATGGGTCTATAAACTCTAGCTTGGGATACTTGGGATAGGCCCCCAAGGGGTACCCAAGTTTGTGGAATGGTGAGATTATGTGTAAAGTGGGCTAGATCTATTAGACCCAAAACAAAAACCACGTGCCGCCGAGCGGACTGGATGGGCTTGGGCTCGCGTGCGTGGTGTGAAGTTGAGTTGGGCTTGTCTGATCCAATACTTATCTTTTTGGGCTAAAAACATTTGTATTTTATTTATTTATTTTTTTAATTTTGGTTTCAAAATTCAAATTAAATTGGTCCAAATTTTTCCTTCACCCAAATAGATCTCGAACAGGTTAAATTCCACTTGAACAGGTTTTTTCCTGTTGGTACCTGTTTTGAAAAGCCACCAGGTTTCCTACAAATAGCCTACCTTCCAGCAATGTTCAATGAACAAATTTTCTTCTTCCTTCTTCTTCTTCTTCTTCTTATCGTCCTCCTGTTTTTGCATCTGTTCTGCATTTAATTTTAGGAAGAAAAAAAAAGAGTCACAATAGAGTTTTAGTTCGCCAGACTTGATTTTGTAATGCTGCAAATCAAGTGCTAGTCATTGCATCCTGGGAAGTAGACGTCAGTAAATCTCGAAACACAGGAGAGAGGGCGAAAGCTACTTTAAGGAAATTGTGTCCAACACAAATCTCGACTTATAATTTCTGTAAGCAATTGATTCGGAATTTAATTTATATAATTATTTTCTAAATTAATTATTTTTTTATTTTGTTATTTATTTTATTTATACATTTGTTTACACATACACACATCTATTGTGGGAATAACAAAAAGATTAGTAGCAAAGCTAGAAGGACCAAATTGAAATTCAATTTTGAACCAAAAAAAGATCACTTGCAAAATCAAAGAGATCAAAGTGGAATTCAAAAAAAATTATAGACTCAAACTAACGATAAGTGGTGAAGGGACAACATTTTAACAAAATTGAAAGTGTAAGGATCAAATCATTCAAATTAAAATTAGAAGAACCAAAATAAATTTTGCTTAAACTAAAGGGATTACTCATATAATTGATTCTTTATTTATTTATTTCTCGTTATAGGCTTTTTCATGTATTGATGTTAGAGTTCTAGTTACTTATGTGTGGTTTGATTATAATTATTCATTCTTGTATAATTCACCAACCCATTGAGATAGATATATAGATAGATTTAAACAAAACAAAAAAGAAAAACCATTCACAGTTATGAATGCACTAATTTTCTCTGTTGTTTGAGTTCGAATGTACTTTTCACTTGTTCACAAAAAATAATAAATAAATAATAGCATAAATTATTATTTTGTATTAACTTACATTGTACCAAATTCTATTTTTGTTCTTATATATTCGAAATCATGGCAGTCAATTCTTATATTTTTGGTCAAATCTTACTTTAATCACTACACACAAAATCGTAATAGTCAAGTCCCTGCACTTTGGTCAAATCTCACTTTGATCCCTACACAAGTGTCAATATCTACATTCTATTACTCCATTGCTTAGATCTTTAACATAATCCACTCATGTGACAAAAATGTAACTACAAAAATGAGGGTAAAAGAGAAAAATTATCCCTATTTCTCATCAATATACACTTTGTCCTATGGAATAAGCACGTGAGAGTTATACAATATACAACATGTGTGTGAACGCGCGCGCGTTGAAAATTGGGATGAAGTGGAAAGAGAATAAAGCTTTGAAATCGAAAAATGCAGCAGGTTGAACACTGCGTTATTTATGGAAAACCAAAATTTGTGATTCTAATTTATACAAAACCCTAATTCATCTTCATAATCGTTTTATAATCTACGTTTTATTTTAGTCTAATACAGTCATAGTTTGATGTAAATTTTGGAATGAAATGTGTATTGTTGGGTAATGAGAATCATTTTATCTCTCTTAATCTCATTTCACAATCACGTTCTTATCACATGACTGGATTCTATTAAAAATTTAAACAATGTAGTAATAAAAAAATGAGACATTGACACTTGTGTGAGGGCCAAAGTAGAGTTTGACCAAAAGTGTAGGTAGTTGACTATCACAGTTTCATGTGTAGGGACGAAAGTAGAATTTGATCAGAACTGCAGAGAATTAATTGTCATAATTTCATGTGTAGGAGCCAATGTGGGATTAGGTGCAAAGTGTAAGGGTGCAAAGTGTAATTTATCTAAAATGAAACTCATTAGTCTTAGGGTAAATTATACTTTGCACTAAGTCTCATTTTGGTCTCTCCACATGAAATTGTGATAGTCAACCCCTTGTAATCCTAGTTAAGTGTTAACGTTGCCCTTCTATTATTCTGTTGTTTAAGTCTTTAATTAACATAATCTAATCATATGACAAACATATGACTACGAAATTAAATGAGGGTAAATAAGAAAAATCACCATAATTTCTTACCTATACACATTTTGTTTAAAAAATTACATCAAATTATAATTATATTTAGCTAAAACAAAATGCAGATTGCAAATGAATAAGAAGATTAACTAGGGTTTTGTAGAAATTAGAATCACAAAATTCTATTTTTCACAGTAACACATCCTTTCGTTTATTTCTCTTCCTTTTTCTTTGATTTTTCTTATGCATTTTTTATTTCAAAAGCTCTATTTTCTTGCCTCTTCATTCTTATTTTTAGTATATGAACACACACACACACACACACATATATATTGTATTACATAACTCTCACATACTTACCATGTAGAACAATGTATATATTGATGAAAAAGTAAATAATTTTCCTCTCTTGGTATCATTTCGTAATCACATACTTGTCACATGACTGGATTCTGTTAAAAATTTAAACAATAGAGTAATAAAAGGGAAATATTAGTATAGTTTTTCTTTTCCTTTTTTTTTTTATCAGCAAAAAAAGAAAAGAAAAGATATTATTAATGGAAATCAGAGTACAAAACAAATAATATACATCAATAAATAAGGTGAGTGCATAGAACATCAAAGCTAAGCTGAACGATCCAATTAGGTTGGCACTGCAAAACAAACTCAATGATATATTAGCACAATACCATGTTAGTGAGAAACCAATACAACTAGCCAAACAACAACAAAACATAAATACAAACGAAAGTAGAAAAACATAACAAGCCCAAATTATTATAGTAGTAGCAACAACTAACTCCAAAAACTGGCCCCATACAAAGCAAGTAGTGGCAGCAGTCTCCAAACATATACCAATCCCATTTCAATCTTACTTTCCTTTCATGTGTAGGGATCAAAGTGAGTTTTGGTGCAAAGTGTAAAGGTACAAAGTGTAATTTACCCTTTCATTTTAGTAATTAAATAGTTTGATTAAAGTGTTTGCTTTAACATGTTTTGATTTTAGATTAAATTTCAACCCAACTTGAACCCACATTTCAATTGAATTCCCATGCCACACTACAACAGGAACACACTTTAGTGACACTACACTAGTGGCATGTTTTTAGAAAATGCCACAAAAATAATATTTGGTGACACGTTTTGGAAAAATGTCACAAAGTCACAAACATAAACGGCTCTAGTGGCATTTCAATAAAGAAGTGCCACATCACTACAACAATAATGTGATTTAGTAACATCAATTTTATGGCCTTTTAAAAAAAAATGACACAAAAAATTATTTTAATGACATTTATCAACATATGCCACTAAACTAGGTAGGTGTAAGAGCATCTCCAATGGTATTTGCTATAATAGCATTGCCATTGCTATAATTTGGCAATGAATAGTAGTAATTTTCCAAACTATAGCAATTGTGCTACAATGGTCATGTGCTATTTCGGCAAATCTTAACCAACTTTCCCTCCAAGTTTGTCGGTGTTGTTTGGATATTGGTTTTTAAGTATTTTTTTTTTTTGTCGATTTTTGTCTTTTGTAACTCTTTTCAAACTATTTCTAAAAGAAAAAAAATTTATATATTTACATTATTCCCGACTAGAGAAATATAAAAAATGAAAAAAATTTGAAAAAAAATAATTTATAATTCACCCCACCAAAAAACATACCACTACACACAAAATATATATATATATATATTAACTACATTAAAAAATAAACAATCACCAACTACCCACCAATAATCATCAATTATTTATTTATTTATTTATTTTAGGCAAATAGAGCACGACTCTTTTCATTTCCAAGATAGAATCATCACCGTTAACGTACTCCAAACCAACGACTGAGATGAATTCTCTAGAATCATCCAACCCATTCCA